TGGTCAGGCGGAGTGTCCGGCAATGCGACGTACCTATGAGGATAATCGTTATACAGCAGTATATCCACAGCATGTATACAGTACATAAAGTATCGGAGGGAATGAGGGAGGTGTACAATCACAAAGTCTTTGCCTCCAAGGGGAAAATATATATCTCCATCAATGGCTAAGATGTCGGACGAATATTGCAGTTTTTACCTGCATACCCTTAGCCGTCGGATACAGCACCTGCTGACTGACCAATGACCATGCAGTTGATGTCTACCGCAACGGCGCCCCTTCACAGTTCCGTGTCTGTTGTGTGTTTGTTTTCGTCCTATTTATTGTGGCGACAGTCCCCCCATTTTTCCTGGTGAGACGTGTACATCACTTTTCAGCGTATGTAGAGTACTACGCTTTTCAGTGTATTTTTTCGTACAACCACAACCATCCAGGGTCACACAGGAGGGGGTAAACACCAGGGCTTTTTTCTTCTCTTTTTTTCTTTTCATGCCCCACCTTCCTCCTGCGGTGTGTGCTGATTTTTTTTTATCGCGAGAAGGGTCCAGCCGTCCCTTTCCATCGTCAACGGTGCTAACGTCGAAGTTTGGTACACACGAGAGCTTGTCAGCTATATTCGCGTTCACCCGCATATTTCATAACTTTTTTACCCCATGGGGATTCGAACTCACGACCCCTGCGACTAGCGGATTACGAGGATAACACTAGACCACCAGGGCGACCGGTGTCGTATGCGGGGGGCATGGTGATTGTTCTTTGTGAGGCTGCTCACGGACCTTCTGTCGCGCTCCCTCGTGATGGTGCACAGAGTATCAAAAGGAATATGGAGTTACATGCAGCGTAAGGTTGCGTGCACGCCTCGTCTATCTTTTCACCCATCTAGCAACTCCATTATCTCACCAATCTTCACCGACGTGTACCGGGTACTCCCTATATCCTTTTTTCCAACGAACTTTCCGCTCTCCCCGTAGCAGAAATTTCTCTCGGGCGCTGAGAGGCGTCCATTTGGCCTCTCTAGAACGCTTACAGGCCTGCATTTCTCCAAATCTTCATTTTCCCGCTTTTGCGATTTTCCGCTTTGTCCCGTTTTATTCACCGCTTTTTCCGCTTTCATCTCTGTAAAGCCGAACGTTTCCACCTTTCGCGCGGGGCCTCATCTTCCTCTCTCGGTTGTCACACATGCAGTGTTCACACATCCAGCCTGCCTTCGCACGTCGCTGTCATTTGCGCACGCCAGTCTGCTTTCACACGTCGCTCTCCACTGCATGTCGTTCAACATCCACAACATTCAACTTTCCTTTTCAGTTCCTGTTCAGTTCCGAAACTTTGACATACCTGTCAGTCTCGTTCTGCACGGGTTACATCGGGATCCTTTTGCCGCCCGTCCCTTCTGCTGCTCTCATCCATCCACACATCACGTTTTATGCCAGTCTCTGTGTCCCCTATCACACACCATCAGTCTATCTCTCCCCTCTCGCACGGCGCAGCACCATCTGCCCTGGGTCTGTTCCTTTCATTTCCACTTCTTCCCTTCGGAACGCTTCTCTTCCGAATTTCCCTAGCGAGGGGCGGGGTCCCTTCTCAGTTCCGACAGTTGACATTCTGTCAGTCAGCTGCTCCGCTATGTGAGACGTCGATGGATCCGTTGTGCGCGGGTTGTCTATACGGGTTGAAACGCAGGCAAGATGCGTCGTGGTGTGGCACCCTCTCAGCTCCTCTACGTCTACGGCATGTTGCACGGCATGTTGCACTATGTAGGGAAATTGCCGTGTCTTCATTCCATTTTGTGCGTGCCGTCTTTGCTCTTCTACGTATCAATCGATGACACACCACCATGGCGGCGTCCGTTGGCCAACATTCCAATTTCAATTCGATCAAGAAACACGTATCTTGGATCCGATCTATTGAGCGGGGCGGCGGAAGCCGCGACACCCTTTGTACGATACTGATGCTTTTTCCGACATGCGGGCTGCTGGTACACGCTACAGTAGATCAAAGCCCATGCCTCCGCGTTGATTCCTTGCTCAGCAACCAGCACTTTGCGAAGGCCGGTCTTTTAGATAGGGGGCGACCTTCCCGAGCTAGCATCTGAAATTATACTCATCACCTCGATTTTTCTCCCGCCGCAGTGACCCTCTCTGCGTCCACAAGGATGCCGTGATACGCCATTTCGACGTGTCCCTTTCCGGAAAGGCGAAATCAGTGCCTGTGCTTGTGTGGCATGATCCACGAGCGAGTGCATCTTGTCTTAGCCTCGCTAACAGATTGTATTTGTCCCCCCAAACCCTGCCGTACCCCGGAAAAAACGTATTGAGGGGAATGCCAGACGCTCGGTGTTCACAGATCAGCACACTTCGGCTATTGTCGAGAGAAGAGCGACAACCAGACCCCCGGTGTTCACAGAACAGCAAGTTGCTGCCATGGGTCGAGACAAGAGTGGTCTAATACCAGGGAAAAACATTTTGTGTGTGTCGGTACCGGGTACCCCCCCATTAGTACGCCTGAACGAAACGTTATTCCTCGACTTTTTCAAACCCACTGATGCATGCTGCGTATTGCAGGTGGTGGCCGCTGCTTTTTCCGATGATGGGGTCGTGCACATTCTTCAAGAGAAGATGCGACTGTGCAACGAAAGATCGCCTAGAGCTATGCATTCCTCCAAAAGTACGTCTTCTGTAGCCAGCAGCATGAAGGTGGCCAGGGCAGCCAGGGGGGTAGGACGAGTGGCAAGTCCTTCCTCAGAGGCAAGCGCGCACAGTTTTTCGCGGTTCATGGCTACGAATGAGACAGGTGGCAGAAACACAGATGGAGATCGTGTTGAGAGATGCTGCGAGGGGGTTCAAGATCAGGAGCAAACGCAAGTGTGTCCGTGTTGCTGCTCTTGCGGTGCCAAAAAAGACGGAGATCGTACCCAGACGAGATCACGCTTGCAACGTTGTAGCCCACATCCCGAGCGTTTTGCTCGGACCGTGATGCCGATGTTTGTGATCGACTCGGATAGCTCCGCGGCCGCCCCGCCACAGCATGGCGAGGGGATAAACGAGTGTGTTGATAGGTGCACTCGAACGACCTCCGAAGTCGACAACATCGGTGATCTTCAACGCCAGAGTACGCCGGCTACCATCGGATCTGATAGCAGTGAAGGTGATCACACAGACGTACTTGTTTGGCCGCTTGAGAAGACAACGCAGGGATGGTGAAGGGAATCAAGATGATTTCCCGTCTGTATTCGTGGGTGTGAACCCTCATCCCCTAGAGAATTGGCGAAGTTGGTCTGTATTGACTGCCCGTGGTCGACATCGAGAGGGAAGTGATACAAGTGAATAGCGGTACTACGAGCACAGCATGTGGAGTATAGGGCACGGAGGTGCCTCCTCCATAGCCAAAACCGGAGCCTCCTCGTTCCTTCTCCCGAGGTCACCATCAAGTAGTAACCCCCTGGGCTGGTCTTGTTGGCGTTATCGCCGCTTCACCCGGTACCACCAGTATGAGAGTACCTCCACTGCTACAGCCAACGGTACCCATGTTCTCCTCCTTTCGCTGTGGACGTTCAACGCCATGCAGGAAACAAGTCGCCCGCAGGGACGACAGAGACTTCTTCGACCAGTTCTCCTGCTGCTTCCCCTCCTGGAGTCGCCCTTTTGCGGAAGAGTGCGAATAACCAAGAGCAAGAAGTTGGTTTAAGTGACGACGACCACACGTCAACTCCAGTTTCCCTAACGTCTTCCGCTGACCAAGACTCTGGGTGCGAGGCAACGCCGCCGGCTCGTGACGACGGCGACGGAGTCAACACCATAGAGCAAGAGGAAGACGAAGATGTGGACATGTCACCAACTGGGAGCTCGTGTAGCGAGCGACACTACTTCGTTGGGGCTAAGAGGTCAGGTGTCTCCACCGACGTCGACCGACTGGCAGCGGAAAAAGAATCGATGGAGGCGGGGCCGGACGAAGCGGAGGCTAGCGTCCCGAAGATCCTCCCGAAGGATGTATCTTTGGCGGGACTACGGGACAGCGACAAGGGGCACGAAAGGACGGACGGCTACAGTGCAGCCGGGGGTGAGCCGAGCATTGCTAGTGTGGCGGAGGAGGCCATGGCTGCTCCAGCAGGGATTACCGAGTCTATAAGCCCGGACCTACCAACAGTTGAGAAGCGAGAATCTTCCCCCGATACCGCTACTATAGAAGACGAGGACGGCCAAGACTACAATTTCGTATTTGACGAGGAAGAGCCAGGGGATAGCTGCCGAAAAAACGTGCGCTTCTCGGACGAGGCTCTGTGGCGCGTGCACGAGGTTCGGGCCAGCTTCGAGCAGCACGAACTTGCGGAACTCTTTTACACCACCGCGGAGCTAGATGTCATGTTGGAAGAGGCAGAGATGGAAGAAGCCTTGGATCGTTCCAAAGCCAGTGCATTACAGGAGAAGGACTGCGAAGGTGAAGGGGTGCTCGGCGACAATAACGACTCAATACCCATCGGCGTTGAAAGTACACGAAGAGGGAGGGTCGTTGGTGGCGCCGATCTTGGGGGGTTAGAAAACGTATCGATTGAAAGCCTTTCGTTAGACAACGAAAACTCTGATAACAATTTTTGAAACTACTGGGTGCTGAAACTCTATGGAGATAAGGGATTTGCAAGAGTGCGTTGCCCGGACCAGCCACCTCGGTACCACTGTTTCCAACTTCTTCCTCAACAACGAAGAAACCCCCGTCGTTGGTCTCTCAGCTTCTCACAAGACAATCTCCATGCCAACATGACTAAAACATAAGAAACAATCCCGCTTGGAAAGCAATGGTGGGTGCCCGGTTCTTGCCGTCCGGAGCTGAACCTAAACTTCCCCGGCCAAAGCTTGAAAAAGTCGCCGACATTTCCAGCCATTCCAGATACCTATCGAGTCTAGTTTCAAAGGGACCTGACCTACAGGACAATCACACACAAATAGGTCTACACAAGTAGCCTGGCCATGGATCGTTCTGCCAACAGACTCAAGCAAAGTTGAAATTCACCCCACATCAACTCGGAGCACCACCTTCGGTACATGTCGGCGATTGTTTTTACCCGGCCCAACATCTCTCCCAGCTAAGGCCCCTTGTTCCGCCACTTGGTCCCGATCCACACTAGTCATGCATGCACCCGCACGGTCTATCTCATCCCTGAAGAACTCTTCAAGCTCCTGCGCCACCCCCTCCACGACGACCCTCGGCTGCTGCTCGGCGAGCTTACCAACAGCTTCCTTCGGGCAAGTATCGGCCCAGAAGGGGAGCAACGCCCACCACTTTTGGCGTACAAACTCCAGTTCTACGATGACAACCGGGGGGTCGTCCAAACCGGAACACTCCCGCTCGGCTTCCCTAGCGGAGAGGGCGGCTTCCAGCCCGACGACGGCTGCCGACCTCCTACACGCTCGACTCAGGACTCGCTTCCGTTTCAGCTGCTCAGCGTCGTCCTCGGCGTTCTTGCGGGCCTGCTCCTCTCTTCGCTTATCCTTCAGCCGACGGCGTCCGCGACAGCGCCCTTGCAAGCGAAACCAGGAAGAAGGAGAAGAAACCTTGTTCGAAGTTCGACGAGCGCTGTTGCAGTCCTTCCCCTTGCTGGTGGTACTACCATCTCGTTTATTCGCCGATGCGCTTGATCTCCCGGAGAGGTCCTTTGTCGGGCCCAGCTGTATCCCCTCATCGACGAATAGCTGGCGTACCGCCGGCGGAAGGGGTTCGCTCCTGTTCGCGGTTGCCCGCTCCTCCTCTAAGCGACGAAGACGGTTTTTTCGCCCGGCCTTAAGCCGATTCACTTGCGCCATCCACGAAGCAGTCGCACGGTCTACCGTTATTGCTGATGCTATGTTGCTGGTGACCTCGCCAGCAGAATCGGTGGTACTTTCCCCACCCGAACGCCCTCCGACACGCGGGGTACTTGGAACGGGGTACCGCGGTGGCGGTATGGGTAGCGGCTGGAATAACCGGGGTTGGAACGTGCAGTTCTCCTCTACATCACGTTCTTCGGATGTTCGGAGATCCGTTTTCGTTGGATGCCGACTCTCGGAGATGGCTCTGTCTCGTGACGGAACTCCCGTCCCCTGCCCCTTGGCAGTCCGCGCTACTTTTCTCCGCAACGCCAAGGCTTCCGGTGTGGCCGTGGCAGCCATATTCGGCTGAAAGGTGTGGTCTGTAGTCGTTCGAGCCTCGTCGCTTCTCCGCAGGATTTCAATCTTTCGCTCTCTCTCTCGAATTTGCTCTTCGAATCTCTCAGCCATCGCCGCCACTTGGCCTCGTGTCACCACGCGTGGCGGTGCAGAGAGCAACACATCCTCTCCGTCCCTCCGCCTTCCGGCTGGTTTCAACTCCGTACTTATCCCTTGTGAGCAGGCGCGACGTTCTTCTCCGGCAGTCTCTCCTGTCTGGACCCTCCTCTTGTCTTGTCGTTTGCTGGCGCGATGCAGCTGGTTCACCTCGAATATTCCGCTGAGTTCGTTGCAAAGATCCTTGATTTGCTTACTCTGTTGTAGCTCTTCCGCAAAGGCGCTGGGAAAGGATTCGTGTCCATCCATTTGCGGACGCGCATCAACACGATCGTATTCGCAGGTTCGTGCCGCCTCAGCAAGAAGAACGGCCAGATCATCAGCCGGCACGCCGAAGGTTGGTTTTAGATCGTCCTGGTCAAGCCCACCATCGCTGCTTCCATGACCACCAACCTCACTTGTTTCTTCTTCTGAAAGCGTTGCCCAAACAGCAAGCAAGACGTCGTCACGAACGTCGTCTGGCCCCTGGTTGGGTAACATCCCGCACTTGCTTAAAAGACTTTCCACGCCAGCAAGCGAAAGCCACCCTGTCCTGTTGGCATCAACTTCCTGTGCGGGAGAGTGCCATAGGTTGCAGTAACACAGAGGAGTGCGGAGTATGCCAACACCTGAAAGTTAGTTTCGCTACAACAGTGGTACGTATGCATGTTCTTCTAGGCGATCGTCCATACGACACGGCAGACAGCAAAGTGTTTCTTCTGATTCTGTTTGTCGCATGTACGACAGAGTGCAGCAAGCCGGATGAACGCGTACATCTTCCTTTTCGCTTTTTCGCACATCGTCTCCCAACCATTGTGCTGTATCTTTCGGCGGTGATTTTTTTTTTCACTGGCCTTCAGCAGTCACTTACGTCGAACGCCTCCATCATCGCAGACCTAAACCATGCCATCCTCGACCTCGATCTCCTCGCCAGTACCCGCTCAGATTCTGGGTTCACATGGCGAGCGGCAGCCTTTTCTTGCATCTCTTCGTCCGCGAGCTGAATTCTCTTTTCCCGCCTGCTCAGCCACTCTTCCCCTTCCCGGTGTAGCCGCTGCTGTGGGCAACCATGCTTATCCTTGTCCCGGTACGGCATTCTAGACGCCAACAGGCTGCTTCGATGGTTGATCGTTGGCTGAAATGGGTGTCCGCGAGCCCCGTGACCGTCAGCCCGAACAGCTGCTGCCCGCCCATATTCTTCGTTGTCGAAGAAGTCGTCTCGGACAGGATCCTCCTCGTGGTAAGGAGCGCGGTGCGCAAGGCGCTCGAACACTGATGGCCCTCGACCTTCACCTCCTGTGACGTGCGAGTTCCCTTTGTCGCCTCCTGCACAGGAAAAGGAGGAGCGAGCAAGGATCGCCCGTGAAGTACAGTTTACCCACCAGCCGCCAGCCGCGAGCTTGCGCCTTGTTTCCTCTCGGGCCCTCGACCACTCCTCTCGCCGCCGTTCTGCGGCCAGCTGTTCAAACCGCTGGCGCGCCACAAACCCCATCGAGCTGTGGTCTTCGGGAGACATCGTGTGAGACTCTGCCATTGCCACAGCGGAAACATACGGGGAAGATACTAACCTGTCCCCAAGTCCCTGTGATGTGTCCTCGTGTCGTGGTGGCGAGAATGACTGCACAACAGATCCGCAACATGAGGAGGGGGGGCTTGGAGGCCTTAGTTCTCTTTGACCACGTGGAATACCGTCACCAGTCATTGACTCCACGGCATTGTCAACTTTTTCCGTGGAACTGGTGATGTGTTGTCCTTCGCCGTCCGCTGTGTTAGGTTGTTCCGAGTGTTCGTGGAAGTCACGGTAGTCGTTGTCGTCGGTATCGGCGCAACGAGCTACGTGTCCCGCCGGGGGAGTCTGGGCGAGCACAAGGGTATCTTGATCGCGTCTGCGGTTGACGCAACAGTTATGCTCCGAAAATGTCTCTGGCAGGCTTGGCGAGCCCATGTGGCCGGTGGCTCTCCCTGTGCTCACCGTGTTTGCCGGAAGGTCAGGTATTGGGCCCGCTCGCCTAAACATACGATCTTCTTCGTTCTCGACAGGGCGCTCACAGGGAATTTCAGCTCGATCCCGATTGCCCTCCTGCCCACCCGCGCTCTCTCTGGTCTCTTCGCCCTCCCTCGCAGACAAGGGCCAAGGCTCTTGGGTCCCGGGAGCGTTGACGTGTGAACGCGTTGCTGCATCGTCCGAAAAAGTGTTGGAGACCCTCGAACGCCCGCCCTGATCTACGATGCTGTTTTGGTCCTGAGGGTAGAGGATCCCGGAAAGGGTTATTTTCGCTAGGTGTTAGCGTGGTTAGGTAAAAAGAAACAACCGCACTGCTGAAGTAGAACGTTTTCGAACACGTTGAGGCAAAGTCCCTCAGGACCGTTCTGAATGGAGGCCTACTACCTGCCAAAATGTACGTTGCCAAGAGTATTGATGTATTACGTGGGTCAACAAGCCGCTGGGATGTGTCGGTGATTGCTCCCAAGTCCCATTGGAGAAAATTAGGATTGTACTTTTGCAGAGTCTGTTGATGGGGAAAGTTCGTACGTGACATTGAGCTGCAGATTTCGCTATCATGCATGTGCGGAATACTGTCTCGAGGACGTGCACCTTTCGTGTTCGAAAAAGGGCTTAACTATCGCAATGGCGACGCCCAAGTGTTGATGATATGCATGTAGGGTTGTAATGTCGACATATTTCCTGCACAAACACCTACGCTGCCCATTATCTACCCTATTCGAACCTGTGGTCCCAGCCGCCATGGTAGCCCAGAGCCCTCCTCCGGACGGAGTATACTCCTGTATCCAATCTCCCAAATCCTCGCCGAGGAGTCGTCCCTCATGTCTACCACGCTGCGCACGACCGAATCAGAGATTGGGACAGCAGCTACCCGAGCGGTCGTAGAAATCGCAGTGGTCGTCGGGTTTCTCTCTGCCGCGCCCTTCTCTTCTCGCTCCTGCGCCACACGTGGTTCGTCCTGCGCCATAGGTGGTGGGGCTGGCTGTTGCTCTTTCGGGCTGGAGCATTCCACCTCTGCTTCTCTCCGTGCTCTCGCTCCCGCCGCTATCGCCGCCGGTAATGGTGGTGTTCGTTCGATAATATCGCCGGCGAGTGATGGGCTTGTTTCTTTTCCGGCTGCTGTACTTGGAGACGCGCGATGCTGGACAGCATGCTGACGGCTTCGTCCGTTGCTGGTGACGTTCATCTGATGGAACCAAGAAGAGAAAGAAGGTTGTTGTGTCAATCAGTTTCGTTCCGGTGTGTGGTGTCACATCACGTGTACCCGTGGTATCGATGAGATCTACCGTCCGCATTTGTGTAATAATGTTATTGATATCTCGAGTGCGAAGGTACAGAGCCTGTTACAGTTGTGCACAAAGCTTAATTTTGAATGAAAAGTGGTTTTCTGCGCAAGCACGTGCCACGTTGTGTGTTCAACATTTTTCTTGACGATATCTACCGAAACACATTGGTGCTCTACGATGGGGATGTAGTAGCGCACCGTATCCGTGAAAGATGCGCTGACACGGCACTCGGCAGCAGCAGCAGCTACAGCAGCGTTGGTGCCTCCTTCCCGACTCGTGCCGGATCTCAGGGAACTTGGTGGGAGGATAACAGTGTCGACTTCGTCCCGGCCTTCATTGGCGGATACGCATAGCACCGGCGTCGACTGCCTTCGCAGCAGCTACGAAATATCGCCCGCAGATATGCTTCTACCCGCAGGTGCTCTTTTTCTGCATCGCCGGGATCGCTCTGATGTGTGCTGTCGTCTCCAAATCTCCGAATGCGAAAAGAAAGAAAACCTTTTTTTTTTACGAAACCGCCGGTTCCCGATAGTCCCGTGAGACCGCTCCTCCCTCCTCCCAATACAACTACTTTGTACTCAGACATAAAGCAGTAGTGCAACTGTACGACAGTTGCACATTGCACGGCCTGGCCCCTATCGAAGATAAGTACGTCTATATGAGACCGAGTAAAGGAGACAGGCACATTGGTCCACCGTAATATACCGACCTCCACGTCCATCCAATAACAAACAAGTTGGTTCTGGAGGCGTTTTTCGAGAACCACGATGGAAATCATTGTCCCCAGGGCTCTCCTTTCTGTTTCGTGGACTACAGCAGTAACACGACCCCCCCCCGCGAGTCTCGTACACCGGTTCCCCAACAACTGGGTAACGATTGGTGTGGTCGGCCGCCAGAAACACATAATCCATGTAGGAACGCGTTAGGTATGCAAGGTCAGGCGGGGTACATGTATTTTCGTTGAATGTTCGTGTCGGTGATGGATACTACTTTATCGTGTAGATGGATCTGTAGAGGCTGACACCGGCAGATAGCTGTGTACATATATAGTACCTCGACGATGGCAAGCCGGAGGTGCCGCTGCTGCAAGGGAAATCGACGACCTACATCATTGAATGGACGCTCATAATGGCCAACAAAGAAATAGGTGCAGGCGCGCATCAATTTTGCGGACGTCCGGAGCAACCGCTAGCCACGCACACACACGCGCGGTAAGCCAACAGCACCAGAGGCCAGAGCAAGTTCCATCATGGCCAAGAGCAATGAATGGCTTCAACCAGCCCAGCGAAACGACTAGGCCAGGTTAGCCCCTCTTGGTGATCTAGGTGGTAAAGTAACTGGTTGGTGCATAATCTTTTCAGTGAGGTGGCGGCCAAGGTTGCGGTGTAGGTAATCGATAACAACCTGTGGAACGTTGGGGCGGGAGGGGGGGCGTACTCATAATCGTGCATGCCGTAGTCGTTAGACCATTGACCTCGCATCCCTACAAAGCCGGGACGGAGCACGCCGGGTTCTCACCGGACCAGGCTCTCACATCACCAAGCGCGAAGCGCCGTGAGATATTCGGCGAGTCGCATGAAGGGTGCGCTGCATCCTGCTAAGGGTTTTCGGCATCTTGTGCTTACTTCCTTGCGTACGGATGACAGCTGCGTATGAATTAATTTATTTTCTGGTGCTTTCACTTTCAGAGACAGTTGTAAGCACTGTGTAACTGCCTCGAGGGTGCTTAACCATTTTAACACAACGTGGTGCGATCATCCCCCTTGCGCGGAGCGAGGGTTCACCCCGCACAACACGATCTACTCGACTACCATTTTG